GAAGCAGTCAAGTGGCAAGGCGTTCTAGCTCTTCTGAAATTATGTGCTTTCCCAAATAAGGACTCAGTGCTTTGTGTCAGTTGTGTCACCGTGGACATTGGGCCCTACACTTGGGACAGGCTCTCTGGTCTCTGGGTCAGTCCTTTCACCCTGACGGAAAAGGCTTCCGGGTTATTTATTTTGGGGGTTTGGGCTCAGTCCTGGCTCTGTGATCAGGGATTATTCTTGGACGTGCTCAGGGGACCAGATGGGATGCGGCGATGAAACCCGGCTGGGCTGTGTGCCAGGCCAGTGCCCTACCAGCTGTTTATCTCTCAGACACAGGCACATTTCCGACCCTCAACACTGACGGGCCTGAAAAGTTTATGCTCGCGTCCTGCTGGAAAGTCTCAGACATTGTCCAAGTGTAAACATGCAGGGACTCACACTGTGTCATGGGATCTGGAAGCCAGCGACACAGGTTCTGAGTCTCATGGAATGGCTCTTCCATGGCCTCCAGTTGTTCTTCCCTATGAGGTAGGACCTTGATGCCTGCACATTCCTGAGTCACGTGGTCTCATGGTTAGGAATTGAAAACTTTGTCAGAGCCTCAAGAATGCAGCTTCCAGGGCCAGAGAGCTAGCACAGCAGGTGGAGCGCTCGACTCGAATGCAGATAACCCTGGTGCAGTCCCTGGTACTGCGTGGCGTCACCTGAACCCCACCAGGAGTGATCCCTGAGCTCAGAGCCAAAGTAAGCGCTGAGTACCATTGGGCTAGCCCCAAAATTTAAAAAAAAAAAAAAAAAATTCAGCTTCCAGTTCTTCCTGCCCGGGTTGGTCCTTCGAATGCCCGATCACTTACTGAAATGCCAGAGCAAATGAATGCAGCTTGTTTCTTCAGTCTGCACAAAATACTGCAGCTCTGGGAGTTATGGCATGCTTTTCCGCATGCTTAAAAATGCTTCCTGGACATAGCTCATAGGCCTGAGACCCCGGGATCATGCTCCAACATCCCCATTCTGGAAAGCAAGCCTTCTCACTGTAGGGGGTTACTGTAGGAGTGGGCTGGTGAGTGAACAAGGAGACCCCTTGAGGGCTGGAGCACATTCCTGAGTTTGAGCACAGCATTGCAGACCTCTCGGGTACCAACGCTGGAGCCTTGGGTCTCCGGCACACTTGGGAGGCTCAAAACAAAAGTTAAAAAGATAGATTGACCCGGCAAGGGCTGTGACTCAGCCACAGAGACCCTGGGTTCAACCCTCAATCCTCAGCTTAGGCAAAATAAAGGTGTGTGTGTGTGTGTGTGTGTGTGTGTGTGTGATAATACACACACCCTGCATCCCACAGCCACCACCATGTAAACAGTGAACCAGCTTCATGACTACTTTCAGAAGCGATGCCAAGCCAAGCTGCTAAAACTAGCACTGTATACCAGTCTTCAGGATAAAAACTCCAGGGTGTTCTCGGGAGAGAGGTGGGCTGAGAATCACCCCAGTTCTACAGATCCCAGAGCAAAATCTCCAAGTTCTTCAATACTGACAACCCCTTTGGAGCACAGCGATTTAGATGGGAAAGTAGCATAGAAACCAACTACGTTCAATAAATAAAACCATTAACATAGAAGGTACAACTAGCAACAGACAGCTCAGTAAACCCTCAGACAATGACTTAGTGACCCTATGGGGAGATAGAACAATTTTCACAAATCTTCTTTCGCTAGACTGTTTTTTGATAATTCTATTTGCCACGTTGTTGTAGCAGGCAATATAAAATAAACTAATGTGTATCTGTCAAGGGAACAGGCTTGGGGGGGGGGGGCACGGTGGGGAACTGGGGACAGTCTTGAAGGGGAACCAACATTGGTGATGGGATTAGCGTTGGGCCATTGAATGCCGAGACAGCTGTATTATGAACAACTTTGTAAAAACACAGTGTTAAGTTAATACGTATATATTCGGCTGGAGCAATAGCACAGTAGGTAGGACGTTTGCCTTGCATTTGGCCAACCTGGCCGACCTGAGTTCGATTCCTCTGCCCCTCTCAGAGGGTCCCGCAAGCTATCGAGAGTATCTCGCCTGCACAGCAAAGCCTGACAAGCTACCCGTGACGTATTCGGTATGCCAAACATAGTAACAAGTCTCACCATGTTACTGGGCCCGCTCGAGCAAATCGATGAACAGCGGGAGGACAGTGATAATGACAGTGGCAGTGATGTATATATTAATTGATAATGAAATTGAGGGAAAATTACTGTTTGGTAGTTGAGTATATCCTGCTCACAGAGAGCAGGCTAAGGATTCTCGCTTTACTAGGGCCTCTGTGTGTGAAAGATGAAGTGATTAGGAGAATCAGCTCAATATTGATTTTTTAATTTAGGCAGGTGACTTACAAAGGTGACCATTGTAGGCACACAGTGTCCCAACACCAGTCCCTCCATCAGTGTCCCCAGGCTTCCTTCCACCTCCAGCCCCCTTGTCAGACACATTTTCCAGTTGGGTTGTGGTTTGGGTCTTCGGCTTTCAGTGTTGTTGGCTCTGTGGTTCAGAGATAAAGATCTGCCTCACCTCTACCCACCAACGAGCCTGAAGCTCCTGGCTGCACCCCCGTGAAATTGGGGGCGGGGGGGAGGTTAAGATGAGGCATGGAAAGTGAAAACCCAGTATGTAGAGTGCCCTGATGAACTCACCTGACTTCTGTTCTCAGGCATGTTTCTGTGACTGGTAAACAGATTTGGGATTTACAAATTTACCTGTGACTTACAAACTTGTGACATATGGTTTACCTGCTACTGGTCCCATATGTTTCGATTTGATGCTTGGTTTCAGATCTTCTGAATTGAGTTTCCGTGCAGATGTTTTTAGTTCATTTAATTTGACATGTACGAAAACGGTATCTGTGCTGTCCTTTAGTATGCCTCAGTCTAGAGGGTCACAAATACAGAAACACTGCAGGGCACTGTCCCTGGCTTGGATAATGTGGAAAATGTTAATGCATGGCCCAGAGCCGGGGCCGGGTGGGGGTTGGGGGCTGGAACCAGGTCACAGTAATGGTTGCAGCTGCAATTCAGTTGCCTTGAAGAAGCTAGATTTGGTGGGGGGTTGGGTGTGTGTGTGTGTGTGGAGGGGGGGGGGGATTCTGAGTATTTCTTTGATTCAGGTTACACCAATAATGAATAGAATCAGCATGTGGATCTCCCACCTGTGCCTGGCATACCGTACCTCTCGAATCACTTTTTCAGGAGTTAGACTTTCTGTAGGATGGATGGGGATAATATCAGAGTTGTAACTGTGCCTTGAGAAACCTACTAGCATGGAGTAATGCCATAGGTGAGTGGGGGAGAAAAGCCCGGGAAGGAGCAGGGAGGCATGGGCAGCTGTGGGCAGCTGAGGGGAGGCAAAAGTGAACTTCTGTTGGGACTGGAGCAATAGTACAGTGGGTAGGGCGTTTGCCTTGCACACAGCTGACCTGCGTTCGATTCCCAGCATCCCATATGGTCCCCTGAGCACTGCCAGGGATAATTCCTTCATACAGAGCCAGGAGTAACCCCTGTGCATCGCTGGGTGTGACCCAAAAAGAAAAAACAAGTGAATTTCTGTTGACCATCGACGAGGGAGACTTTGTTAAGTCCCAGCAGAAAGTTGGGCTTGACACTAGATAAGACAGTTGAAATGAGCCTTGGAAGAGATGGCGTGGAAGTGGTAGGCGTGAAGTCTAGGGAGGGAGGGAATGGATGGGACACTTTCATTCCAGTACCTTCATCAGGGGTCAGTCTGGCTGCTATCTTCAGGTATGTTCTTTTGAGGTGGTGATTGGGCGTCTCAGTCAGATAAGACATAAGGCCTTTCTGAATGTTTTTGGTTCCTGCTGCATATTCTTCTAATAGAAGTCACTATGTGTGGTCAGTACAACTTAATTCATGCATGGAAAAGACCAGATCTGACTCCCTGCTCAAGGCAAGTCATTTGGGTATTGGACTGCGTTGCAATGTACTTGTGATTGTACTTGTGTTCTGGTCATTGCTATTAGCACTGACACTTATGGCAGAGAAGGAACAACTGTCCAGGGAGGAAGTCTCCAGGGCTTGAGAAGTGCCTTAGTGGGAGGAAAAATTGTTGTTGGGGGCCAGAGGGACTGGGGCACACCTAGTGGTGCTCAGAGCTTACTCCTGGCTCTGTGCTCAGGGATGACTTTTGGCAGTGCTTGGGAGACCATGCAGTTCTGGTAATGAAACTGGGTCAGTCAGCTGCATGCAATGCAAGTGCCTTAACCCCTGTACTCTCTCTTTGGCTCCAGAAAACCATAGGCGCAATTTAAATGTTTTAGAGTAATTATAAGGATGTATATTTGGCATGAACTAGGACTTGAGAAGGTGATAGTTGGAGGGAATATTCCCAATAGCTAAAATAATAGAAATAACTTAAGTGCCCCTAAGTGCCGATCAGCAAAGGGTTGGAAAAAGAAGACGCGATACATTTACAACGTGGAATATTTTCAGTTTTAAAAATGATGAAATTGTGCCATTTACAGCAAAATAGAAGGAGTTTGAAGGGATTGTGTGGAATGAAATAATTCAAAAGAAAATGGACACCAATAATTTTATCTGAGTGAACGGTATAAGGATATGAAATTGGTGAAGAAAGCAAAACAAAATCAGTTAAAGATAAAATAGAACAAAGGTTATTGAGAAGGGGCAGGTGGGAGGAGATTAGGTGGATGGGAAATAGAAACTAAAAAATAAATTATTGATGGAGGAAGAAAAGAAAAATATTAAAGAAATAACATTTGAGGGGGCTGGAGCAGTAGTACAGCAGGTCCGGCACTTGCCTTGCAGGCAACTGACCTGGATTGGATCCCGGGCTCCCATGTGGTCCCCTGAGCACTACCTGAGTGCAGAGCCAGGAGTAACCCATGAGCATTGCCAGTTGTGGCCCCAAAACAAACAAAAGGAACATTAATATCTCATCAAAGATTTTTCTTCCTAATTAACAGAATAGTCTAACATATATTCATGTATTTACAGGTGCTTTTCAGTGGGAAGAATTGGAAGAAGATATCAGGAAGAAGTTGAAAGATTCTGGGGATGTCTCAAATGTCATTGAAAAAGTGAAATGCATTTTAAAAACACCAGGAAAGGTAAATTGGTTTATTATGATTAGCTTACTTTGACTCTCTCTGAATTATAATGAATAGACTCTGATGCATATAAAATTTTGAGTCAATATGTAAATGTTTTAAGTAAAACATTTGCCATTTAAATATAAACGTATACTTTCTATCACTATCTAAGCTTTTAATCATACAAACATTGAAATAGATGAGTCATGCCTTTTGAATGTTAATTTTTGAATTTCATCCTTTGAAATGTCCCCCAGGAACCCCAGGAATTTGCAGCCTATGTCAGGAATGAAGGCTGGTAAATTTGTTTCATTCCAGTTACACTTTCTTGGAGAGGAGGCTTTCTCAGTCCTCAAATTTTATGTTTAAAATTGCATTCAGGAGCAAACAGTTTCTTTTTGTGCCTTTTTCAAGAGTTCTATGAGATCTGTATGATCTCATGAGCAGTAAGGATTCACTTCTCATCTAGTATAACTTCAAAGTTACACATTTAGGTTCAAAGATGATCAGAATACAGACTGTATATACGTAATCTTAGATATATTGAACCTAGTAACATACTGTATAAACATTCTGGAAGAACTTTAAAATTATAGTTGTTGGGGGCTGGAGAGATACTACAACAGATCGGACACTTGCCTTGCATGTGGCTGACCTGGGTTCAATCGCCAGCACCCCATATAGTCCCCTGAGTACCACTAGGAGTGATCCCTGAGTGCAGAGCCACGAATAAGCCCTGAGCACTGTGAGGTGTGCCTCTCTCTTTCTCTGCCCTGGCCCCATAAGAAGAAATAAATAGCACAGAATTAAGGAGCAAGGCCTTTCTTCTGTGTGAGTAACAGAATGACACAGGTCTACAGCTTTTATAAGTGTTTTATAAGTGGATGGCACGGTGGTAACCCTCTTGCAGTCAAGATTTAGCTAGATGATGCTTTTGTAGGAATATGCCCCAAACTTACATCTTGATTTTCAAAAGTTCTCTAGATGAACTTGTGTATGTTCTAGTTGCTTAGGTGAATATGTCCCCTGGTACATTTTTTATTCTCAGCAAACTTGTGCCTTCCCTTGGCATTGATTCGGAGCTGTCATTCCCTTGAGCACTGGGTATAAAATGGATTCTTGGAGAGGTGTGGCTGGGGCTAGACACTTCCTGGTCTGGAAGTTCACTCCCTCCGTGACCCCGGAAGAAAGAAGAGGCCTGTTGTCCGGGATTGGGATCACCCCCTGCCCTGGCTGCCACACAGGGAAGAATTGGGAGGCAGGAAGTGCTCCGGGGATGCAGCTTCTGCCAGGAATCATCTCTGTGGCTATTCCAGACTTTTTACGAATGGAGGCATAAGCTGCTTTGTTTCTAAAGTCACTGCTGCTCTCAAATTCTGGGATGCTTCTGGACAGGAGGGCGCCACCTCAGTGCTCGGGGGCCCAGGGGTGCCCCTAGTGAGGGTTTTTGCAGCAATGTGGACCTGAGACCCAACAAGCATGATGACCGGCTAGGGGTATCTCTGGTGATGCCTGTGTTCCAGCCCCTGTGTATGTACCCTGGATCTTTTCCGGTCCCTGCAAGTGTCCTTCAGGGGAGGTACTGGACAGAGTCTGAGAAGGTACCTGGTGCCAGGACTGCCAGAATCCTGTCTGGTGCATGAGTGTCTGGCAGTGTGTGTTCCTCTACATTATGAAGAAGGACAGTATTTTTCCTCTTCTCAGCAAATGTCTGACTTCCTGCCATAACTGATTTATCCAAAGTGGGGAGTAAGGGGCTGGAGTGATAGTCCAGCAGGGAGGGTGTTTGCCTTGCATGCAGCTGAACTGGGTTTGATCCCTGGCGTCCCATATGGTCCCCCCAGCACTGCCAGGATTGATTCCTGAGTGCAGAGCCAGGAGTAACCCCTGAGCATTGCCAGGTGTGACCCAAAAAGAAACCAAAGTGGGGAGTGATGCCCCTGGATCTTTTGTTGTTGTTGCTAGTGTGATATATCATGGTACGTCAGAGGATCGAAGTCACCGAGGTCTGGTCACGGGGCTGCTGCCCAGCGCTGTGCTTTGGGTCTGCCGCTGCTGCTAAGGCTTGGTACTACCGTGTAGACTTGCCTCGAGGGAAGAACTGAGCTGGTTGTCCGTGGAAGAGATTGGGCCTGTGGTTGCAGAGCAGCCCTGGGACCCCGGGCCCTGCATGCAGCTCCCCAGCATGGAGTTTTCCTCCAGCGAGTTTGCTCCCAGCTGCGTATGCTGAAGAGCTCGCAATTGCTCTGTGACGGATGGTGCGTGTGGCTCTGAGGGGACGCTCCCCTGGAAATCATGGCTAGAGGAACTGAGTCATTATTTTAGTAGACATTGAGCACCATTTTCCGGATTCTCCCACTCGTCCATACATATTCTCAGAATTCATTGTGCAACATTTCTCCTTCTGTTCTTGGTTTTTTCTCCCCTTCCAGATTAATTGCCTAAGAAATTGCAAAACCTATCAAGCCAGAAAACCTCTGTGGTTTTATAACACCTCCCTCAAGTTCTTCCTTAATAAGCCGATGCTTGCTGATGTTGTCTTCGAAATACAAGGTATGGTTCAGTCTTCGCACTGTGAAAGTGAGCACTTTGTATTTTCCTGCTGTATCTACTTTAAGTGTTTGGGTGAAAGGGTTAGGGTTCTCTGCAGCAGAACATAGATTAATGTGGTCTGAATTTCAACCAAATCTTCCAGGGAAAATGAACTATGCTATTAAAATGGGAAAAGAAGACTTGCCCTCACAAGCCGTGTCCTCCCCTGAACACTTATCTCTCTGGCTTGTCTCAGTGTCTCTCAGATCGCTTATTTCCACTCTGGGGAAGTCTGTGTTCCTCTCCTCTCCCCTCCCATCCCCTTCCTTCTCCTCCTCAGTCCTCCCCTCCCCTCCCTCATCTCCTCTTTTGGTTTTTTGGCCACACCCAGTGTTGCTCAGGGCTTACTCCCAGTTCTGCCTTCAGGGATTGCTACTGAAGGGCTCAGGGACCCATGTGGGGTTCCAGAGATTGAACCCAAATCAGTGACATGCCAGGCAAATGCCCTCCCTGCTGGACTATGGCTCCAGCCCCTTGAGTTTTCTCTTGAACACACACTTCCTCTCTTTCTCTCCCCTGCGCTTCCCTTTTTATTTGTTTTTTGGGTCACACCATATAGTGTTCAGGGGTCACTCCTGTTTCTGCACTCAAGAGTCACTTGAGTAGGCTCAAGGGGACCATCTGGGGTACCAGGATCAAACCTATTCACTGTACTATCTCTCACGGCCCCACCTCTCTCACCTTTCTAAGTAAGTCTAATTCAATAAAAATGTTATTGCTTCACTGTTTTGCCTCCTGAAATTCTTTTCTATGAAGGAAAGGACACAGACACACACACAGACACACACACAGACACACACACACACACACACACACACATCTGTGCTGAGGGGAGACTGAGTCCTTCCTACTGAGAGCAATTTCTTGCTCCAGCGTGAGTCCATGGCTTCCTGAGAAATCGGGTACCAGGGATCACCTTCCACCTTGGGCAGAACTAGTGGACTGTAGGCACAGCTTGACAGCTGCTTCATGAGGTTAGTGGGATGGAAGGAGTGTCTGTGCACCAGTCCTCAGCCACAGCAGGCCCCTTCTGAGCAGGTGGCCAAGGTGGGTCAAACAGAGAAGTCGACATCTACCTCCTTGACTCTCCATTTAACCAAACTGCTGGCAACAAAACCATCATTAGCAATATTGTAGGGGCTGGAGCTATAGCACAGCAGGTAGGGCATTTGCCTTGCATGTGGCCGACTTGGGTTTGATTCCCAGCATCCCATATGGTCCTCCGAGCACTGCCACCCATATGGTCCCCCCAGGAGTTACCCCTGTGCATTGCCGGGTGTGACCCAGAAAGCAAAAACAAAGGGTAACCCCAGAGCACCAGGAGTAATTTCTGAGTGCAAAAGCCAGGAATAACCCCTGTATAACGGCTGTGCATCACCGGGTGTGACACAAAAAGAAAAAAAAATATTAATCATCAGAGTCCTGAAGAACATGAAGGCAAACGTGATGAGGAAACAATTAAAGAAATCATCGACAAGAATTTCCCACAGTTGAAGGTTTTCCCAAAGCTGACTGCTCTGAGATCCAAGAGGGCTGAAGGGTCCCCACAAAAATAGACCATATTAGGAAAACTCCAAGGCACACTGTACTCAAAATGATGGCTAGAGACAGAATATTGAAAGCAGCAGGATCAAAAAAGGAACTTACATAAAAAGATAACATAAGATGTGAAGATGATTTATCAAATGAGACTCTGTGAGTCAGAAGAGTATGGGAGGATATAGAAAAATAACTTGAGGAAATCAGCACCTGATCAAGAATACTCTACCCGGTTAGATTATCATGTAGATCCGAAGGACTAACAGAGAGCTTCACCAACAGGCAACAGCCTTGAAACTAGTTTTTTAAGAAGCATTAAAAGGGTAACCCCGGGGCTTGGAGCAATAGCACAGCGGGTAGGGCGTTTGCCTTGCAAGCAGCCGACCCGGGTTCGATACCAAGCATCCCATATGATCTCCTGAGCACCGCCAGGCAGGGGTAACTCCTGAGGATAGAGCCAGGAGTTACCCCTGTGCATTGCCAGGTGTGACCCAAAAAGAAGAAAAAAAGGGTAACCCCAGAGCACCACCAATTTTTGTGGTGGCCCAAAAACAAAAAGCCAAAAAGAGCAACAGCAAACAAACTCCTTTAAAGGACAGGAGGAACGTGTGGCATTGAGTTTGGCCCTCGCCATTGGTGCATATACTATGCTAAGAAAGCTTAAAGACATAGCACCAGATCATCACAAATTAACTTATCTTGATTTATTTTTAGATAATGCCATTTGCTATTCCTTTAAGTTTTGTTGAGCAAGAACTGTGAAATGAATTTGTCATATGCCTGCCAAGGGAGGTAGTCTGGTGAGAGGAAGGGAACCTGGAGGCATTGATGGTGGGACTGGTATTGGAACACTGTATGTCTGAATCAACTCTGTTATGAACAACTTTATAAACTGGGGCATCTTAATTTTTTTTTTCTTAATGGCGAGATAGTCCAGTCGGTAGGGAGTTTGCTTTGAATGTGGCCAACCGGAGTTGAATCCCTGGCATCCCATATGTTCCCAGTCACTGCTAGGAATAATTCCTGAGTACAGAGCCAGGAATAAACACTGAGCATTGCCAGGTGTCACCCACAAAACAAAAGTAAATAAAATTTTTAAAAAATGAAATGAAGATAGGAAAATAAATTTTACATATATATTTTTCCTCAACCATATACTTCATTATTTTTCAGGGATGATTATAGGTGGGGATTATATACGTACAGATTTTATATATATATATATACATATATATACGTATATATATATAAAGCTTAGTTTTTTAATGCCCTGAAACAAGCCTCCTTAATATTTTATTACCTCTGGCTTATTAAACTCCCTTTCATTCTGTTTGAACAAAAAAAAAATACTAGTGGGTTGGAGGTTATGTCTGGCTTACATCAAGCATCTGTAGCTACTGCTACACTAATTTCTTTTTTTTTTTATCATACTCTGAGAATTAATCACCAGAGCAATTGAGGCTGCTTTTTACTCTCTGTAGGAAAGCAGTGCTGCCTAATGTTGATAAAGATAAGCAGTTTTAGGGCCCATTATCGATGATTTGCTTGGATAACTTTGTTAATTTATTAGGCTGAAAACATCATCTTAAAATGAATTGTCAGATGCCTTCAGCTATGCAGGAATTGTTCCAGCTGAAGTAGAACGTCAGGTGGACTATTAATAGCAGGAAGATATAATTCTAATTTTATAGTAGGAATATATAGCAGCTATCAGTCATTTAATTTCTGAAGGTTTTTTTCCCCAGAACAGTTCATTTTACTTTGAAGCTTGGTGGCTTGCCAGTCTCCACAGGGAGACAGAGACGTGCTGAGATAAAATGCCTTCCCGTCTGTCTCCGGCTGTGTGAGCCTGGGTCACTGCGAATGGGACAGGAAGACTAACCTTGAAATGCACTTTTAAAAAGGACTTGGGAAAAAGAAAACTAACAAGGACCACATTTACTTCTTACTTTCATAAACCCCATTAATATCTGCTTGCGTGATCAAATAGTTGAGCAAATCTGGACCACACCAATAGTTTTGACATCTGTTTGCTATCACTGTAATAGTCTCTACACATATATTTATGTAGGTCAGTAGTCTCCAGCTGCCAATAAATTGCCTGCAGGTGTCAGAAGGTTGAGAACCACTGATTCACCATTTTGGTTTTAACTTCCTGTCTGGACTGGTCTCAGGTGGAAAAGGATTGAAGGACATTAATGTATATTTATTACAGCTACTCCTAATGGCTTTTTTAGAGCAGCTATAAAAAAAAAGGGGGACGTATTGGGGGTAGGTGTGTCTGTGTGTGTGTGCCTCTGCACGTCCGTGTTTACGTCTATATTTCTTTGTGTGTTTGTGGATGCCCCTCACTGAACCACAATCCAGACCATATGTTAGCTGCTCTAAAACTAATCTTGGTAAATATTTAGACCTTATATGGTTCTTTTCCTTTTCTTGGCAATCTCAGGAATTGAGCCCTGGATCTCACACACGCAAGGCATGTGCTCTACCCCTGAGCCATCTCCCTAGCACTAGCCCTAAGCCTAATATAGAAAGATAAGGGTTTCCTTTCCACATTTGGATCTGTGTCTCATGAAAAAATGCTTTAGCGGCATGGAATTTCCCAGGGGCTAGAGTGATAATACAGCTGGTAAGGCGCTCGCCCTGCACAAAGCCAACCTGGGTATGATCCTGGCACCCCATATGGTCCCCTAAGATTCACCAGGAGTGATCCCTGAGCACAGAGCCAGCAGTAAGCCCTGAGCACTGCCAGATATGGTCCTCTCTTTGCTTTATGGTGATATATATATGTATATATACACACACACACACATATATATATATGAAAGACCCATAGCTTAATTGCCTTTATTATGTCTCCAGCCACACTTGATAATTTCTTAACTGGAGATAAAATTGTTTTCCAAATTAAAGCTTAAAATGGGCATTAAAAATGCCTTTAAGGTCTCAGGGTTTATGGGGGGGGGGTGTTTTTGTTTGGGGGCCACACCTGGCTGTGTTCAGGGTTTACTCTGGTCTCTGTGCTCAGCGATCTCTCCTCGTGGTGCTTGTGGGACTGACCAAATGTAGTGTCACAGATCCAACCCTGGGTTGCCACGTGCAAGGCAAGCACCCTCCCCACTGTACTCTCTCCAGCCCACAGGCCTGAGTTTTTTTTTTTTTTGTCGGTTTTGTAATTGTTGAGCATATTATCTGTAAAAATTTCTGCTCAAATTCTGAGGTTTGGTGAGGAGGTGGCTCAGTGGTCCAGTGCATGCCCTCCCTGTGTGAGGCTCTTGGGTTAAATTCTTGGCACTGCAAAAAAAAAAAACTATGAACCACGCCAATTAATAAAAGAAATATAGAGAACACCAAATGGCCAAAGTCATTGGAACTGGAAGTTTAGTCTACAGAATTGATCTAAACATACCACAGGGGTCAGTTGGGAGGGGCCCTTGGGACACCAGTGGAGAGAAGGGTGCTCTCTGGTGATGGGTATAGTGTTAGAATGATATATGCACGAAAAATATAATTATCGGTGTCACAAATTCCAGTGTCTCTATAAAAATGGTAAAACAGGCAACAAAGAAATTTAAGGTGCCCGAGCCCCTTATACAACTAGAGAGAGGAATTCCTGAGTAATAACCCCTGAGCATTGCTGCCTGTGACCCCAAAAGAAAAAAAAAAGCTTAAGTCAATAAGATAAAATCCCTGCATACCAAACTCCTCCCACGTCTACTACCTGTTTACTATTTTGGGCCATTCTTAAATTCTTCTTAACCCAGATGAGAAGTCATCTGACTTGTTGACTTGCTTCCAGTTTTCCTTTTCTAAATTTCAGGTTGCTTCCTGGGAGGTTTTCAGGCCTCAAAATTACAAGTCAAGTTGTGTTACCTGTTTGCAGTCAGTGCTAATTGCTGTGTCCGAGTCTAGCCAACATCGGTCACCCCGCCCCCTTCAGAGGACACGGTCACTTTGAGGGCAGGTGGCTTAAAGGCAGGTGGGCAGGCAGGAAGGGCACTGGCCAAGGAGGCGGGCTTGGGCTCGGAGTGCCAGTGGAGTGTGGGCACACCGCCCTCTGCCCCGATGCCCGGCTGGGCCGTGAGAGCTGCTCCAGAAGATGTTTGATTTGAACTTAGAGCCGGGGAAGGGTCATCGCCAACATCTGCTCCCACGTAGAAGGCAGCAGAGAACCAGCTCTGGCCATAGTGGGACATTCTAGTAGGGGCCAGTTTTGTCACTCTCAAAACTCTTTGGTGTCTTCTGACAAAGTTTGACATGTTTGACAGCTCGGAAGCCAGGGCACTTTGTTTTTCTCATCTTTGCATCTTTAGCACCAGGCGGGTTGATTGGCACCATGGTCTAATCATTTGCCCTAGCCCTCCTGCAGGCTGGCTGGAGATTCAGGGGTCCTGGGTGGGTAGGTTGTAAAACTGGCTTCACCCCCACCTTAGCCCCAGTCTCCAGCTAGTGCTGTGGGGATAGCAGCCTAGCGCTTACAAGCTGTCTCCTGTCCTTTCAGCCAAGACCTTGAACTTGGGAATGTTCCTCTCTGGGTGCTTCCCTGGGGAGGGACCTGCTGGGAAGAGTTGGGGCAAGGTCAGTGCCTTGCAGTTTTTCTGGACAAGCTTCCCTCTTCTTTCCCTCCATGATTCTTTGAATAGCTTGAAGAAACGGTTTCCTTCTGCTTCCTCTTTCTGATCAGGGTGAGCTGATCCAACTGTTCTGTGTACTTGGCCAAGAAAAGAAAGGTTTCTGAAGCATAGCATACAGGTTGTGGTGGGTGGTGGGATTTGAAGCCAGCTGGAAAGGATCGGCGTTGTGTTATAAAACCAGGCAGTAAAACATTTTGTCTCAACATTTCTGTCTTCAGGAAATAGCATGGAAGCAACAGATAGTTGCCCGACTTGACAAATGATGGCTTCAGCATCACCTCTTAATTTTTTACAAACATTTTTATTCTAACACTGTGAGTTAACTAGTTGTTTACGGTTGTTTCAGGCATTCAGTGTTCCAACACAAATCCCACCACCAGAATAACCTCTGCACCAATGCCCACCCACGACCCCAATCTGTCTTATCAGACAGATTGTCTTCATACTGTTTGTTACAACACAAGGACAAATGGAATTGTCAAAACTTAGATCAGTATAAGGGATTTTCTGGTAGTTGTTGCATCTCACAAGGGTGTTACGAAAGTCATTGAGGATTTCTGCATTGAGGGCGTCTGCAGGGACCACCTGGACTGGACGGTGCTCGCTGTGCTGTCTCTGTTAGTGCTGTAGCTCATTGGACTTGGTGGGCGTCTGTAACTTTCTCATTAGCTCAGCAACACTTGGTCTTTTATTTTTTAATTTACTTATTTTTTATTGGCGAAACACCATGAGGTACAGTTGTAGGCTTACAAACTTCCGTGCTTGGGTTTTAGTTCTACAATGAGCCCTCCACCAGTGCCCATTCTCCATCACCGATGATCCCAGTAGCCCTCCCATCCCCCCACCCCACCCCGCCTCTGTGGCAGGGCATTCCCTTTTGCTCTCTCCTTTAGGGTGTTGTAGTTTGCAGTAAAGTATTGCATAGCCGTCATGTTCGGTCTGCAGCCTACTTTCAGCACTCATCTCGCCTCCCGAGCGAGTCCTCCAAACTTCCTTTACTTGGTGTTCCCTTCTCTAAGCAGCACTTTGTCTTAGCTGCCTTGCATGTAAGTGCAGTGTCTTAGCTGCCTTGCATGTAAGTGCAGTGCTCTGGGTGCTGACTCCTACCCAGCTTCTGTCTGCCGCTAAGCCCGTTACAGCCCTGCAGGAAGGGATGGCACTTCCTGACCTGACAGAGCTGTTTCCCTCTCAAACCTTCTAGGTTCCACAGTGCCAGCCCACAGGGCCATCCTGGTGGCCCGCTGTGAAGTGATGGCGGCCATGTTCAACGGGAATTACATGGAGTCCAAGAGTGTACTGATTCCCGTCTATGGCGTTTCCAAAGAGACCTTCCTGTCATTCTTGGAGTACCTCTACACCGATTCCTGCTGCCCAGGTGAGCAAGGCGCACGTCAGACTGTAGCTCACAGCCCTGCTGCCCACACATCCTGGTCAGTGGACTCTGAGATTTACCACTTTTGGTGTTATCGCCGTTGGCATCGAGGACATGGTGGTGTGGAGATCATGCACAACTGTTGTTCAGGGGCAGCGTGGTGGTCCCTGCAGATACCCTGGACGGAGGTGTCTCTCGGTACCCAGTGGTCTCTCGATCTCAGAGCTCCAGGGGTGCAGTTCTGTGGCAGAAGAGCCTTGGGAAACTGCCTTTGTGGCTCGCGGTTCTGATTGAGGGGTTCAGTTTTCTGACACTTCCGTGGCCATCACTTTGGTCAGAAAATGGGGGTTTCTATTTATTTATCCCAAGCAGTGCTCAGTGGAACACTCAGCAGTACTAGGCAGGACCGTGTGAGTACTACCAGTACTACCCCTGGCAGTACTCCGGCATCTGGGAGGTTCCTGTTTGTGTAAGATATGTACCCCTAACCCGGGCTGTCGCCACAGCCCCAGCATGTGGGGCTTTATTATTTTATTTCATTTTTTAAAGTTCATTACTTAAAATTTTTTTTTCTGGCTTGTTATTCTGTGGTCTTTTATGGACACAATATCAAGTCATGGGTTTTGGGTATATTTGTTTGTTTGGGGTTGAGGGGGAGGGCACATCTGGTGATGCTTAGGGCTTACTCTTGACTCAGTGCTCATGAATCACTCCTGGAGGGGTCGGGGTACCATATGGGATGCCAGGGATCAACCCCAGGTAGGCCGTGTGCAAAGCAAGTGCCCTACCTGCTATACTCTTGTTCCAGCAAGACCCCAAGATGTGGGGTGTTAAGGCCATCTTCTGATGTGGCCTAAAGTTAGTCTCCTAAAGCTGACTTGTCACAAGTGTTGTCTGCAGTTCGGAATGTACAGTGTATTATTAGATTCACACACGGAGGACTCACATTGTTGGCCTGGAGCCGGCTGTCCCGGGCGTCCTGGCCGGGAACAGATCTTTCTGGGTCGCTTCCTCCGCCTAGAGGCAGAAGGGCCTGGCTGCAGGCACAGGTGTCCCCTTGATTTGCCCTCTTGCTCTGGCCACCAGATGGCTCCCACCCCAAGCACAATTAGCAGAGGAGTCAGAGACCCAGGATGCAGGGCTTGGCCCGGAACCCCAGCAGCTATGGCAGGAAACCCACGTTTCACACGTTCTTTTCAGATTCTCCACTTCCCGTTCTACACCTGTTTCCGGAATGTCTTGTTTTCAGTGGGTCAAGTGCCCTCTAGTGAAAGGCCGTAGAAGTTCTCCAAAACATTCCTTGTACCATTTAATTTATTCTGTTCTGGATCTAGCTTTAAGCACTGTTTTGACTGTGATTGCAGCATGTGACCCAGACTATAATGATCAAATAAAAGTTTGCCAGGGACACTGAACACTGGTGGAATTGGAATATTATATGCCAGAAACTATTGTAAATGATGATGCCTAAGTTAAAGATTTTTTTTTTTTTGAAAGAACTCTGTTGGAACCAGTTAGGTTATCTTTGTAGTATTAAAGATTTTCTTGGGGCTGGAGCGATAGCACAGCGGGTAGGGCGTTTACCTTTCACGCGGCTGGCCAGGGTTCGATTCCCAGCATCCCATATGGTCCCCCAGCCAGGAGTTATTCATGAGTGTGTGAGCCAGGAGTAACCCCTCTGCATTGCCAGGTGTGACACACACACACACACAGACACACAGACACACACACACACACAAAAGATTTTCTTACCATTTTTCTTTGATTCTTTGGTTCTTATCAGAATAAGAGTTGCTAATTTTGTTATTTCAATAGTGGGAAATTTGTGTACTAAACAGAAATTTTCACTAGATTCAAATTTGTCTGTCATCTTCTCCCTAGAGTAATTGAACTTCTAAGTTTGCATCTTATCTTGCCAATTCGAGAAATGTTCAAAAAATGTATGTGGTGAGAAAATGTTCTAAAGTGAATAATCAAAATATTGGGAATGTAGACCCTATGGGAACACCAAAAACAAAACAAATAAAATTAAACAGTAGATTCTCCATTGCTTTATTTGCCTTGAAAAGGTTACGGAAAGAAAATCTGTTCATGAATTTGGAGTGATGAGACAGTAGGTAGGGCTCTTGCCTTGCACACGGCTGACCAGGTTTTGATCATGGTACCCCATAAAGTCCTTTGAACCCTGCCAGGAGTGATCCCTGAGCACAGAGTCAGGAATAAGCCCCAAACATAGTTGGATGGGACCCCAAAATGAAACAAAAAACAGTTAACTAAAAAAAATTGTTTTAAGGGCCAGAGCCAAAGTACAGCAGCGAGGGTGTTTGTTTGCCTTGCATGCAGCCAACCCGGGTTCAATCCTGGGCATCCCATATGGTTCCCCAAGCACCGCCAGGAGTAATTCCTGAGTGCAGAGCCAAGAGTAACCCCTGAGCATCGCTGGATGTGACCCCCCAAAATCAAACAAAAATTCAAAAGAACTTTTAAAAATATAGTAATTAGTTTAAATAGGCATCATTCACATTTTCCTGCTATCCTATTTACAAAGGAATGTAAGGAATTTGAGGAGGGGAGGGAAGAGTTCATAAACACTTACAGGGAAGTGAAAATACCCGGGTGTCAGCCAGGCGCTGGGAGGATTGGGAAGTAGTACTCCATGGCTGCAGAGTTTTAGTGGGGGACCGAAAGTAATAAAGTTCTGGGGGCGGATGATGGTGGTACTCACAGAGCAGAGTCGATGCCACCACTGAACACTCAGAAATAGTAGCAAATTCTCTTGTGTTAATTTTACCATAATAAATACATGAGGCAGGAACCTGGAGCCTAAAGCCAGGGAAGGAAGATGTGCAAAGGTTGCGTATGTTTAGGAAGCAGGAAAGAAAGATAGAGTTGAGAGTGGAAAAGTAATTGAAGAATCTCCTCTGGAGAGGGAGGAAGGGAGGGAGGGAGGGAGGAAGGAAGGAAGGAAGGAAGGAAGGAAGGAAGGAAGGAAGGAAGGAGGGAGGGAGGGAGAAAAGGAAAGAAAGAAGGTAGGAAGGAAGGAAGGAAGGAAGGAAGGAAGGAAGGAAGGAAGGAAGGGAAAAAAGGAAAGAAAGAAAGAAAGAAAGAAAGAAAGAAAGAAAGAAAGAAAGAAAAGAACCCTCAATGCATAGATTCACATCTGCATGTGCAGACCGATATGGACTCTTCAAGTTGGAGTAAGAGTTTAGAATGTGGGGTCTAAGGCCATAGCACAGCGGGTAGGGCATTTGCCTTTCACGCGGCCAACCCGGGTTTGATTCCCAGCATCCCATATGGTCCCCCCAAGCACTGCCAGGAGTAATTCTGAGAGTATGAACCAGGAGTAACCCCTGAGCATCGCTGGGTGTGACCCCACCAAGAAAAAAAAAAGTGAAATAAAAGAGTTTAGAATGTGGATTCTCTTCTTTAAGCTTTTCCCCCAACGTTCTATTTATTCTATGTGGGGCAGCAAGATCACCCCCCCCTTTTTTTTTTAATTTTTATTATTGAAACACCATGAGGTACAGTTGTGGACTTACAAGTTTTTGTGCTTGGGTTTCAGTTATAAAATGATTGAGTCCCTCCAGCAGTGCCCATTCTCCACCACCAATGATCCCAGTATCCCTCCCACCTCTCCATCCCCGCATCCCACCCTGCCTCTGTGGCAGGGCATTCCCTTTTGTTCTCTCTCTCCTTTTGGGTGCTGTGGTTTGCAAAAGAGGCATTGAGTGGCAATCATGTTCCGTCTATAGTCTACTTTCAGAATGCATCTCCCATCCTGGGAGGATCCTCCTAACACCCTTTATTTGGTGCTCCCTTCTCTTTCTGAGCTGCATTTTCCCCTTCACTTGTGCAGCTGGCCTCCAAGCCATGGAGTAAACCTCCTGGTAGTTATCTGGCTATTCTTGGGTGCTAGTCTCCTGTTTTGTTACTTTATGTTCCCCAGATGAGTGCAGTCTTTCTATGTCTGTCCCTCTCTTTCTGACTCATTTCACTTAGCATGATACTTTCCATGTAGTACCACTTGTATGTGAATTTCACGACTTCAAGATCGCCCATTTATTATTGCTCTGTGGCTCTCTGTAGCTTTGCTTTGGCTCAGACCCATAAAGGTCTCACGTTCCCTTTGCTCTCGTTTCCTTTCTCGTGCAGCCGGCATTTTCCAGGCCATGTGTCTCCTGATCTGTGCAGAGATGTACCAGGTGTCCCGGCTGCAGCACATCTGCGAGCTGTTCATCATCACCCAGCTGCAGAGCATGCCCAGTCGGGAGCTGGCGGCCATGAACCTCGACATCGTGGACCTGCTCAAGAAAGCCAAGGTGATCTGCCTTACAGAGCTAGTGATCTGATTTTGTTTTTTCCTGTCTGAATCTTCTCAGACTTGCAGTTGTGGTGATATTTTGCAGGGATGGGGATTAAACCCAGGGTATTGTGTGTGTGTGTACACACACACACACACACACACATTCACAGCAAGGGCTTAGCTGTTGAGCCATCCCTCCAGCCCTCTTGTAAGATGTATTGACCATATTTTCATTTCTTTTGTTGCTTCCTAAGCAGGGCTCAGGAGGTTCAGGGGCCGCACCAGCAATTCTTGACCAACGGGGCCGTCCCCAGGATGCTGGGCTGCTGGTTCCTGCAGTGATGGGCACCTCCAGGAACGTATTAAGGGTGCTCAGGGGACTGTGTGCTGCCGGGAATTGAACCCATCCCTGCCAGGACATTGTGCTTGGATTTCAGTTATACAATGATCGAGTTTACCCGTGCTGTCTCCCAGTCCCTACCTGCTGCTTCTTACGCAGTGTACTAGTCTTAGTGGGGGAGTTGGGTTGGATGCAGTCAGCATGCCCCTTCAGCAATCTCTGAGGCCCGAGACTTGGGAAAGGGGACGTGTGACCACTCCTTTCAAGGCTTGGGAAGGGGGGGTAATCACATTTGACAGGGGAGAAGTTTTTTGTGTTGTTGTTTGTTTTTGTTCTTTTTTTTTGCTTTTTTGGGTTACACCCGGCGATGCACAGGGGTTACTCCTGGCTCATGCACTCAGGAATGACTCCTGGCGGTGTTTGGCGAACCATATGGGATGCTGGGAACCAAACCTGGGTTGGCTACGTGCAAGGCAAACACCCTACCCGCTGTGCTATTGCTCCAGCCCACAAGGGAAAATCACCCCCCCCTTACTTGAGTTACTTGAGTATGGTGCTATGCTTGTTGTATCAGCATTATAACAAGTAGAATTCACATGCTGTTTGCCCCAAATTATCATCCCCTCGGCTTCTCTAGGGAAAATGCAGAATTGGTCCTTGCATATTTATAGAGATCACTGGGTTCCGACTCATTTGTTCTCTAATTTACTCCCGTAGTGACATGTTGAGAAGTGTACACTTCATTGTTCCTTTCACCGGGTCTCACTGTGCTGTGCTTATAAAACTCATTTGGGGACCAGAGATATAGTACAGATAAGGCATTTGCCTTGCTCTGCGGGTTTGCTCCCTGGCACCCCATGTGGTCCCCCAGGACCCCCAGGAGTAAGCCTTAGCACTGCTGGGTGTGACCCAAAAACCAAAAAAAAAAAAAAAAAAAAGAATTCTTTTTTAGAGATAATAGAGCTGTGGGGATAGCCCATAGGAGCACAACAAGCTTTGCATTCTGGCGGCCCAGGTTCAGTCTCAGGCACTGCACTGGTCCCCCAGGAGCAAGCACTGATCTGGGAGTAGCCATTGAGCACTGCTGGTTGTGTGATAAGGTACAGAATGGAGATGAGAAGCCTGTCTTTAAATTAGCATGTTTGAGCTGAAGAGGTAGCTCTGAGCATGGTGACTGCAGTCCCCCCTGGTTTCGTTCCCAGCACCACAGATGGTCCCCTGAGCATCACTGAGTGTGGCCCAGAAACAGTGGCCCAAAACAGCAAAAATGAAAATAGACTGGAATTTTTTTTTTAAATTGATTGATTATTTTGAATGCCCTTAAAAGAACTGTACTAAAAGCCGGAGAGATAATGCGGCAAGTAAGGCACTTGTCTTGCAGAGGGCCAACCTGGGTTTGATCCCCAGCACCCCATATGGTCCCCCATATGGTCCCCCAGGAGTGACCCCTGAGTGCAGAGCCAGGAGTAAGCCCTGAGCACTGTTGGGTGTGGCCCAGCCCCCATATCCAAAAGAACTGTACTTACCCTAAAAGTGGAAATAGCTTTTCATCGATAACTGAATGAACTGGGAGGAAGCACCGGCATCCATTGGGATATTTTTCAACTTTAAAAGGGAATAAAATGTTGATAGATGCTTCCTTGAGATATTTTGCTACGTAGAGTAAAACACAGGAAAAAGGACAAATGAATAATTCCGCCTAATAATAGTACCTAGAATTCACCAAGACAGAAAACAACAGTGGCTGCACCAAGTGGGGTAAGGAGAGAGCTAACTCAGTGGGTGCAGAGTTTGGGGTGACATAGTCGTGGATGTGAATGCTGCTGCTGGTGGCACAGTACTCTGAGGCTGCCTCATGCCCCTAGACTCAAAGTGGTCAAAATGGGGCCTGGAGTGATCGTGCAGTGGGTGTTTTCCTTCTACAGCCCAACCCGAGTTCAGTCCCTGGCATCCCGTATAATCTCCTGAGCACCACCAGGAGTAATTCCCGAATCCAGAGCCAGGAGTAACTTCTGAGCATCTCTGAGGTGTGGGTCCTCCCCGCAAATGGCCAAAATGGGACCTGGAGCAGTAGTACTGCCTTGCATGCAGCTGACCTGGGTTTGATCCCTGGCACCACCTGTGATCCCCTCAAGCCCTGCAAGAAGTGATGCCTAATCACAGAACCCGGAATAAGCCCTGAGCACAGCTAGATGGGGCCCGAATTAAGGAAGGGAGGGTGAGAGGGTGGGAAGTCCCATTTTACCTTGTGTGCATGTATCCACAGTAACCGGAACTGTTGACTATTGTCATAGTTGAGAGGTTCAGTTCACGGGTGGCCAGCACAGGATGGACACCAGGGTCCTGATGCCCTGACCATCAGGTGCTCCTGGTTTCCGTGGCATCAGCATGTGGGACTGACAGTGATAAACCCTCAGGGATATCCTGCCTGGGGCGACTGTCCCTCCAGCCCGAGCCGCTGTAAAGGAGGCCCTTCCTTATAGGAATGGCCACTCACTGAAACCGGACTCCAGATGGGCCACGCATTCCTTGTTAACTTGTTTAGACACGGTTCATCATAGTCTTACCCCGGTTGCACGGATCCTCTGCGTGGTGTGGAGCTGAGCTGACACGGAATTCTCCAGAACTCAGAGTAGTGTTTGTCAGTGACACTCAAGGCCCACGGCTAACTAACTTGCTCCTTTCGTATTTTCATTGTCGAACTACGTGGTATTTTATGTTAAAATGATGCTGCTTTGCCCCCTCTATCACAGTATCCTGAAGGCTGCGACACGAGTAGACACCCAAAGTTGAACTCGGGAGTCCCCAGGCTCTCACTGGCCCTTCTTTCCACCGCACGCTGCTCTGACGCCCAGTGGCCAGTCTTGTCTCACGTTCTCTTTCTCTTGCAGTTCCACCACTCCGATTGCCTTTCAACCTGGCTACTGCATTTCATTGCCACTAACTACCTCATCTTCAGCCAGAAGCCTGAATTTCAAGATCTTTCAGGTAGATTGCCAGTTTCTCTTTCTAAAAAAGAAAACTTGATTTTCTTTGCTCTCCTATCTGAGACATCATTTTAGGAATCGTAGAAAAATGAGTGAAAAGGGGGTTGAAGTGATACTGCCGAGTGCACAATTTTTGTCTTGCATGCAACTGACCTGGTTTTGATCCCTGGCATCCTGTATGATCTCCTGAGCCCGCCAGGAGTGATTCCTGGGTGCAGAGCAAGGAGTAAATCCTGAGCACATCCAAAAACAAAACGAACAAACAAAAAAAAAAGTGAAAAACACTCCTTTGCTCTACGGTATGATCCTTGAGGACACAGAAATGCATTGCCACTTTAGTTCTCATGGTTATGTTACAGCAATCATCTATTTTTACAAGCTTTTTTTTTTTGTTTTTTCCTGTAGTACATAAGGTGGCCTCAATTGCATTTTTTTTTAATCTAGAGGTATTGCTAATTATTCAGCCATTGTCAGTTGCATTTTTGTTATAGTAAACGGTATTGGTTTTAACCACCCAAGTTAGAAGAAAAATTTAAAGGACAGGTTAATATTTTTTCTAAAGGAGTTTTAGCAAGTATTTATTTATTTCTAATATTGTGTTGAATATCTGTTAATTTTAATATATCTAGAAGTTCATTATATGACAGGAATAGTTTTTAAATCTTTTTTTATTCATTAAAGAGCATTTCAAAAATTACTGAGCAGAGTTTACAGAACGTGATTTTCCCCCTCTGTTTTATTTAAACACCATGGTTTATAAATTTGTCCATGATGCGTTTTTTACAAACAATATTCCAACCTCAGTCCCATCTCCACTGTCACCTTCCCTCCACCGTTGACCCCATTTTCCCAAGCATCCCCCAAGTCTACCCTGTACCAGGCCCAAAATAATTTATTTTATATTTTAAATGTCTACTAGAAATATCAAATAATACTTCAGCAAAAGATACAACAGTTGTGGAAATTATTGTATCTTACCACAGGGACATGAAGTCCTTACTTGAGGGTTAACTGAGCTGTTGTTGCTAGTTGAGCCTTCTGTGTTAATGTTGTGAGTCAAGCTTAGCTGACTTCTGTGTTACATTTCCCATCCAATCTGGTTTACTGCTGTTGGGATGTCTTTGATATTATGCTCCAAAAGCTTCAGAAAATGTAACTGGGCAGTGAGCTTACATGGCAGGCAATGGTGGGATGTGGGCATGTCTTCCAGGGTTTCTGGAAGTCCAGGGGTGAGGGGTGGAGGGGAATGGGGAGGTCGCCCACACTGACTCCAAGAAGGCCTGGAGTTTTCAGCATACCTGAAATTTTGGGCAGTTTGGCATCTTTGTGGAACTCATTGTGAGGCTGTAGAGTGCGGCCATAGGCATGGAGGCGGCTGTTGGGATGTGAGTGTGGCTGTCAGGGCTTTGGGCAGGGACTTGGCCCGTCTCACTCCCCCGGGGTACCTGGGCAGTCTCAGCCAGGGACTGAAGTATCCAAGAAATTTTGGCAGCTAGGTTTAATTGTGAGTCTCTGAAGCTGGGCCAGTAGATGAGCTTACGTGGTGTCAGTGGTGGAATGTCCAGAATACGATTTTTTAAAGTAAATTACAAAAATTAAAACCAAAAGGTGAGGGACCAGAGTGATAGCACAGTGGGTAGGGTGTTTTCCTTGCATGCGGCTGACCAGGTTTGATTCCCAGCATCCCATAGGATCCCCCGAGCACCGCCAGGAGTAATTCCTGAGTGCATGAGCCAGGAGTAACTCCTGTGCATTGCCAGGTGTGACCCAAAAAGGAAAAAAAAAAAGGTGAGCTGCTGATTTCTCGGGAAAAGAAAGGAAATGAAAATAGGATGTTCCTGAACAGACAGGTTCATTGCTTTTTCATGGTGCTCCATTGAAGAGACAAAAAGGAAAGGAAAGATGAGATCCCTGGGTCAAAACTGTTCAACTCAGATAGAAACACTTTGGAAGTGCTTAAAGGTTTCCTAAGAGGTGTGGTGAGACAATCCAGCAGGTAGGGCACTTGCCTTGCATGAGGCTGACTCAGGTTCAAACCCCAGCACCTCAGAAGTTCCCCCCAGCACCACCAGGTATGATCCCTAAGCACAGGGTCAGGAGTGATTTCCTGAGCATTGAACACCCACCAGTAAAAGGTCTTCCAGGGTAAGGACAAAGGGTATGAAGAGGGGAAGAGAGTGTAGAGATGGACAAGGAGCTAAAATTCACGTTTCCGTGGCCTTCCCTCTCACCTCGGGCAGAGTCGCTCTCTTTTCATTTAGGGCTCCCTGAGCCATGCGGTTGGGGGCCTGGCTCCCCTTGGCAGTGCTGGGTCCAGGGGTACAGTGTTCTGGGGCCATTGAGGGATCAACTCAGCGTCTCCCACACGCCAAGCATGTGCTTCTCCTTGCACTATCCCCTGGCCTCAGTCATTCTGTTTTTTTTTTAATTGCTATAGAAATTAGCAAAATATATTGAAATATATCTCTTTTTTTAAATTTTTTATTAGTGAAACGTCATGAGGCACAGTTGTATATTTACAGATTTTTGTGCTTGGGTTTCAGTTATACAATGATCAAACACCCATCCCTCCACCAGTGCCCATTTTCCACCACCACGGGTCCCAGTTTTGCTTTTATCTGTTTCATGTGTTGGAATTTCAGAGACTTACTTGGGATGAGGAATTTGCCCTTAAAGATGTGAACACTACCCGGGAGACGGCTCAAGGGCCAGGATCTGGGGCTCTGCGTGGTGGCGTCTAGCATTGATTCCCAGCACAGCACACTCCCTTGAGTACTGAGGTCATTGCCTCTGAACACCACCGGGTGGGCCCCAAAGGAAGAGACATGAGGGGGCTGGAGCAATAGCACAGTGGATAGGGCATTTGCCTTGCATGTGGCCGACCCGGGTTAAATTCCCAGCATCCCATATGGTCCCCTGAGCACTGCCAGGAGTAATTCCTGAATGCATGAGCCAGGAGTAACCAAAAAAAAAAAAAAAAGAAAGAAAGGAGACATGAAACGTTCGTTGCTTCCCTCTGTTTGTCTTGGTTCGGTTAAAGAAACCAGGAGCCACACACACAGCCCGGCTTTGGCTGGCCGTCCAGCCAGCCTATCCTGTGTGCCCGTTGAGAGCCTTCCTGCCCTTGCCCAATGTGTCAATGGCATCATTCTCGCAGAGAATGGGCTAAGAACCCCTGCTCTCTGGAAGAGGAGGCAGTCCATCCCTCAGCCAGGAAGGGAGCAAGGACATTCAGGTTCTCAGGCTTTGGACTTCCAGGTCACACCTGGCAGTGCTCAGGGCTTATTCCTGGCTCTGCGCTCAGGGATCACTCCTGGTGGGGCTGGAGGGAAACCGTCTGGGGTGTTGGGAATCCAGGTCTGCCACATGTGAGGAAGTACCTTACCCACAATACTATCTCTCTAACCCCAGTAAGGATATTCCTAGAGATATTCAAGGAGTCCATTAAAAATAAGACAAACGGCATCTTGATCTTAGATCAACCTTTATTTTGTCACCTTGGTTCATCTTCATTTGTGAAAGACAAATCCATTCTTTTTCACTTGCTCTCATCCAGATGTACAGTGCACCTGGAGTGCTGTTAGAGGCAGCGATAAGGCGGGGGTGGGGTGGGAGGAATAAATCCTTTGCAAAAAATATATGGTTTTAATTTTGTTGTATTACATCTGTAATTGCTTATAAGGTCAGTTATGGCCCGCTGACAGGGTGGAAAGCCGGGCCCTGGGGTGTAACTGAGAAGGCTGTAGAAAGGAGGCTGTGATTAGGCCGTGATTATCTCTTGTGCCTTTGGTAGGGATTGAAAGCCTCTCCGGAGGCTGCTGGCTCCAAAGAATTGGCCATGACGCACAGGAGGAAAATGCCCCCTGTATTAGAGAGCATGTTATGGTCTAAATCAGCTGCTTCCTCCAGTCGGTCTGGTGGGTTGAGTGTCACCTGCCAAGGGGTCTTATTTGGAACCTGTGTCGCAGCATTTGAAGATTGCTGACAACCGGTTCAACCCCCAGCACTGCCTGGCACCCCCAGATGCTTCCAGGGATCACCCCTAGCACAGCCAGTGGGAGACCTTGAGTACCATCAGGTGTAGCCCAAACTTCTACCCGCAAACAGATACCAGTTATAAAGTGTCACCTCGAACCAGTTCGAATTTCTTTTTGCTTTTTGGGTCACATCTGGCGATGCTCAGGGGTTACACCTGGCTCATAGACTTAGGAATTACTCCTGGCAGTGCTCAGGGTACCATATGGGGTGCTGGGAATCGAACCCAGGTCGGTCGCGTGCAAGGCAAATGCCCTACCTGCTCTGCGCTATCGCTACAGCCCCACCAATTTGAATTTCTACTGCGGTCGGCACGCTGGCCGATGTGGCCACTGCAGGCCCCTCCCTGGCAGAGCCTCCACCTGTGCTGGCCCCTGTTGGCTGTAGCGGTCACTCATCCCTCCCTGCTGCTTTCCCATGGCCACCTGGTCTGCTTACAGGAGGGTGAAATCTTGGATTCTCGTCATGATTCCTGTAACTTCCTGTAGATTGAGAAATTGTCCCGCTGGTATTGGGATTCTGTGCCTGGTGTTCTCCTGGGACTGTTTCTTCTGCAGCCGTGTTTAGAAGTGAGATGGTGAGAGCAGGGAAGATCTCACATCGTGGCTGGCCTGAAAGCACGAAGCAGGTGGTTGAAAATGCATCATATTGAGCTAGTCGGATCTCATGCAGACACACAGCGCAGGAGTGCAGGGTACCCGTGGCATTTATAGACTCATTAATCTCACACTTGAGTTCAGCTCAGTATTGTATTATGTCTCGAGGCAGGTGTGTTCAGTTTGTTTGTGTTTGTGGCTCACTCGCCAGAGATCAGCCGTGGAAGCTTTCCTTCTTGGGGCTTCTTATGGATGCATATCCAGAGGTGTGGGAGTGGGAGAGGGCCAGTCCAGACAGTCAGTGCTCCAGGTTTGCTGCTTCTGCTCTTTTTTATGGTAGTGAAAGGGAGTAGGTGCAGGTCACCTTTTCCCCCTAAGGAAACCTGGAATTAATTTCCCTCAGAAACGAGGTGTTTTCTTCCTGTCCGTGTCCCACAGCCTGAGTCCAGACCTCATTTGCCTGAATGATAATAGGTGAGGTCAGAGAGTAGACAGAGAATGAAATAAACCTCCTAGAGAAAACCTGATGCCCACAGGAAGGACGGCTGATTGGCATCGGGCCGATTCAGCCAGCAGAGGCCCAGAAAGCCTTAGAAACTCAAAGGATCCGGTATTTCAGAAAACAGAAGCAACTTCACAGACCAAACATAGAATTAGGCGAGTTTGTGAGACGCTTTTGTGAAAAATCCATCCCACTGCAGAAAGCAGCTACTTCTCACTGTCCTCAGAGGGGATGGCAGGCTTATTCCAGGGAAACATGCCCCACGTGTCCGGATGGGTAGCGGTAGGCATGGCCGGAAGGGGCATTAGAGCCAGGCAGAGTGCGGCCTCCTGCCCACATCTCAGTTCCAGACGACTGCCCAGCAGCCCAGCACCTGCCACCGCAACCACCGCTCTGCTCAGGAAGTGACAGGTTCGTTCTCTGGCTTCCAAGAAAAAGCACACGAGACGATCACACGGGATCGTTTATCTACGCAGTACTAAGTATGGCTTCCGGGCAGTGGACCTGTTGCCCAGAGTGTGGTCCAGCAGCTGTTCGGTGTCTCCAAAATATCTAGAGTTTGGATGAAGAGATAGCACAGCAGAGAGGGCTTACATGCGGCCAACCTGGGTTTGATCTCTGGCATACCATGTTGTCCTTCAAACACATATAGGAGTAATTCCTGAGTTCCTGAGCACCACCGAGTGTGTCCCCTAAAACACCAAACCAAAAAAAAAAAAAAAAAAAAAGAGAGAGGCAGCTGAGGATCAACAGATATTGGCAGCAGTGACCACCATATAGATGGGTGCCAAAGGTAAATTAATAAAAACTGATAAGAAGAAACTTAAGAGGAACAGGGAGAAAATTTGATTTAAAAACTGATTCTAAAATGAATATCTTCCCCCATATAAGATACTGGTATTGATAGAAACAGGCATAGAATCTTTCTTTCCTTCTTTCTTTCTTTCTTTCTTTCTTTCTTTCTTTCTTTCTTTCTTTCTTTCTTGGGTTGAGGACCACACCCAGTGGTGCTCAGGGGCTACTCCTGACTCTGAACTCAGGAGTTATGCCTGGAGGTGCTCAGTGGACCAAAGGAAATGCCAGGGATTGAACCCAGGTTAGTTGCACACAAGGCAAAGGACCTACCACTGTGCTGTCTTTCCAGCCCCAGAATGTTCTGTTTTTAAAAAGAAGCGGTATTGGCGTGTGTGCCCGGGGTTCCTGCAGTCCCCTCCTGAGGTGTGGATTTTCACACTGTCAGATATTAGTGTTGGGTTATTGCTGGCTCTGTTTGTTCTAGAGAAGCCCATGTTCTGTTGTAAGAATGTGTCTTAACCAACCTCTCTCCATAGCTCCCTTTAGTCCTGTAACTAAGTCTTCAAAGAAAGAAGCAGCAGATTTGTAGAGTCCAGAGGTAAAGTGGTTGAGGCCAGATCCCAAGGAACAGGAAACAAGGATGTTGTTTAATGGGTCTAGAGTTTCAGGGGTTTTATTGTTGTTGTTGTTGGTTTGGTTTGGTTTTTAGGGTCACACCCAGAAGCTCAGGGATCACTCCTGGCTCACATCAGCTGTGTGCAGGACAAACACCCTACCTCTTTTATTATTGCTTTGGTCCTAAAATTCTAGTTTTTCAAGATGAAAAGAGTACTGGAGTTTGGTAGCCCAATACCATGAGTGTGCTTATTTATGTAACTTAAAAATGGTTAAGATGGTACCTTTGCTATATGTATATATATAATTATTATTATTTTCACTTGTGGTATATTTACCACAACTAAAAATAATAAAAAAAACAGGAAGTTATTCTTGGATATTAAGTGTGATAGCAAACAAACAAAAAAACCCACAAAACTTTCCCCACCCAAAAATAAAAAACTAAAACTAAAGAGTTGAAAGACAAAGTTAAGAAAATCTTTAAGTTAAGAAAATCTTTAAGTTAAGAAAATCTTTAAGTTAAGATGTTTGGAGGATCCTCCCAGGAGGAGAGATGCATGTCGAAAGTAGACTATGGACTGAACATGTTTGCCACTCAATGCCTCTTTTGCAGACCACAACACCCAAAAGGAGAGAGAGAACACAGGGGATTGCCCTGCCACAGAGACAGGGGGGATGGGGGGATGGGGGTGGGAGGGATATTGTCCATGGTGGTGGAAAATGGGCACTGGTGGAGGGATGGGTATCTGATCATTGTATAATTGAAACCAAAGCACAAAAAATTGTAAATCTACAACTTAAAAAAAAATAAAATAAAATAAAGGGGAAAAAAAATTTTCGAAGTAAGACAAAAAACTAAGGAGGAGGAAAGTTTCCTCCCTTTTTAAGTAAAAATTCAATATAAGAGGTGAAGTGCCTGAGTAATATTAATACAGAGAAAAATTGGGGGACAGGGCAATGGCGCAAAGGTCTAATTCTCACACACTGGAACGCTGGTCCCCTCTGAGTTTGATCCCTGCCTGCTGAGTTCAGAAATGACCCGGAGCAAGCCACCAGGTCTGGCCCCCAAATTAAATATTTTTAAATAAAAGAGGGAAGAAAATGATCAGAAATAATAAAAAGACATGCTCTAAGTGCTGAAGTTGAGAGAGTAAGAGAAACTGCTAAGCTCTTGGCCCAGTGACAACAGCAGTTGTATCAGGTCATATGAGAACAGTGACTCTAGAAAGAAAGACCTAAAGGAATTACCCACACACACACACTCTCTCTCTCTCTCTCTCTCTCTCTCTCTCTCTCTCTCTCTCTCTCTCTCTCTCATACACACACACACTATCATACAGACACACACACACACACTCACACACACACACACACACACACACACACCAGGAAGCAAGAAAGCCACGTGACACGCTTCAATATTCTAGGGGCAATTTTTCAGCCTAGAATTATATCCTTAGTCAAAGATAGAATGGTCACAAAGAGGTGTCCAGATGCCTGTTTGTTACTTGTTTGTTTGGGGACCACACCAAACAAACTGCTGCGCTTATGGATCACTCCTAAAGGAGACTGAATGGGGTCCCAGGGATCAAACCCAAGTTGGCCACTTACAAGGCAAACGTGCTCCCCCCTGTACTATCGCTCTGTCCCCCATGGTACCTTATCAGGAAGCATCACCCAGGCTAGCAAACAATCCAGGTGAATTGCAGGAGTGAAGGACTCACACAAAAGCAAGAAGCAGGCTCAGAAAACTCAGTGCGGGCAGGACTCTGAAGGGGGTACTCGCCACTGTGGCTATGTCTTCAGTGGAATTGAGAACTCTAGCAGGTGAAGAGGATGGAGAGAACCCGAAAGGGTTGGGGTTGGGTTATCTCCGAAGGAAACAAATAAAATGGAGACAGGAGTTTTTAATCCTCTCCAGGAAAATAAGAAAAGGAAACTAAAAGGAACCTACGTAGAAAACAACCTATCTTGTTCACTGTTTCAGTCTGCTTGATGAAGTAGTGCACAAGACATGTACAATTGTATGTCTCATCGTAACATAAATCCTAAAACTGTGTTCACTGATTTTGGAAAACTTGAGGGAAGCGTAGGGGTTATGGAACAACAGAAAATCCAGTAGTCAATAGGAAATCTGCAGTCATTACCCAAATGTAGCCTCAAATGAAGTCTATCCCATTAACACTCGTTTTCTGAAATTTTCAGTGGAAGAACGCAGTTTTGTGGAGAAGCACAGATGGCCATCGAATATGTACTTGAAGCAGCTTGCAGAATACAGGAAGTATATTCACTCTCGGAAGTGTCGCTGCGCAGTGATGTAACTAGAGCTTTTATAAATACCACTTTTGGTAGTGGTGATGGTGGTGATGATGATGTTGAACTGTGGGATGCTTTGGGGTACCAAAAAAGTTCTTGTGATCTAAACCAATAAGGGCACTGGAGGAAAAAATCACTAACAGCTTAATGTGTTGGTCAGTTCTATTTGAAAAAAGCCTACTATTGTGATTCTTAAAGGGAACAAAATATACCATAAACTAAAACTAAGGCTTCATCCAACTATATAAAGCTGTAATACAGCTACTTTTGACATTTAAAATGCTCTATTGCTTTAGTGATGTTAACTCCCCTCCCACTTAATAAATGCTTGAACTTAAAAATCATATAGGATTAACACTTACCATGTCTGATCAATTGCTCTATTAAGGTGCACTTAATGAGCCACTATGACTATTTCTATCATGAGCAATCTAGGAGAAATACTGATAGTCTGAACTTTTTAAATAGAGTTGTCCCTTGGATTTTGAATTTGCAGTGTTACTTGATTCCAAGTCAGTGACCATATTTGAACCCTCATGAACCAAAGGTTGTTTTTCATCTGAATGGCCCATCTGAGCCACCTTATCTTGGCCCTGCCCTGCGATTCCTTTCAGGCAGAAAACCTAACCAGGGCTTGTTTGGGCCATGAAGCCTGTGTAGACCCATTTAGCCCACACTGAGAAAGGCTCATGTTTGGTTCGATGCCGGTACACCCTGAAAATCCCTTTTTTTTTGTTATTGTTAATTTTATGATGGCACCTGGGATCAAATCCAGGTCCCATGCATGCAAGGCATGCACTTTACCACTGAGCCACATCCCAGCCCTTGAAATTCTCATGTGATAAAAGGGCTCACATTTCTGTTTTGTACACCCCAAAGTCATGTATGTCCCCTTGAAGGATCTGGACTGTTTTTCTTGCTCTAATATCATTTCTCTGAACGTGGAAGAGGCAGGGTAGTCAAAAGAAGAGGAAGGAGGAGGCTGCTGAGGAAGTGATGAGGGGTTCCCATCTTTCGGGTCTCTACCGCTGTCATCTCGACTGTCAAGTGAGACATGGTCATGTTGTCTTAGCTTTAAAACACAACACTGGCTCTGATGCAGACCTACTGGCACTTTCTCGCTCATTCTGTTAAAACAGGATGTTGATGAAAGTATAACTGATCAATGTGACTTTCAGATGCATTTATCAAGATGCACATATAGAATATGGTGCTTTGGAGAGAATCTGCTGTCAAAGGCTTAAGACTCGATCTAGCACATTTACCAAAGTTAGGATGTCCATAGCATGATCATTTTCATTTTTTCTGAGGAACTCAAGGATATTTAACCAAGAGTAGCAGGAGTCTTGTCTTTTAAGATTACCCCGTGAGTTAAAGAACGGTTATAAATCAGACTGGTTATGTGTAAAAAATGTGGCATTAAGGTGGAAGACAGAACTATAGTTTCTTTAGCAGTTTATGGTGACAAAATTATCAAAAACTCACAAGCTACAAGGTAGAAAACCATACACTATTTATTGTTGGTTATACTTAATTTTGTAATTTCAGTGTTATTCATCAAAAGTTTGGCTAATGTACTGTACCATTGCAGTGAAATATAATCCATTATTGGATGTCAAGAGTTAAACAAAAAGGGCTAGAGTGATAGTATAGTAGATTAGGTGCTTGCCTTGCATGCAGCTGACACAGGTTTAATCCCTGGCATCCCATAAGGTCCCCTGAGCCCAGCCAGGAGTGATTCCTGAGTGCAGAGCCAGGACTAACCCCTGAGGATACTAAGGTGTGGTCCTAAAACCAAAAATAAGTAAAGCAGGAAACATATCCTATGTAGATCTTCTGAGAAACTTAATTTTCATTGGATTTTGTTGAAGAAAATCCTGGAATACACTTTGTTTCTCATATTTTAATTACTTGGGTTAACTTCCTACAGATCTCGTTTGACAAGGACTAGAGCTGTAAAAATAGATACTGTAGATTTCTAGAATGCATTCACATAGAAGACTGACAGTGATAGCCTTTTGTTCTCCATAAACATTCTTATCCTCATGTGAATCATAGCATTTGAAATTCTAACTCCTTAACTTTTAATCTAGGGAGTTAAAAAATCTAAGTCCTACAGGAATAGAAAATATTTTCTTGAAGAAACTAACACTTAAATAGACCTTAGTCTTTTTTTTTAGGTTGCCATAATATTGTATTGAGTGGATGTTGAGTTTGGAGTTTGGTGCTCTGTTGGTGTGGAGTATATAGCATTTATGATGAACAGGTGTTACCACACTCGAAGACACACATGTTCTAAAACCCCAGAGATAGAACAATTACCAAATTAGTTTGCAATCCTAGACTCAGTAGCTTTAATTTACTCAATTTAAAATGACAAGAAACTAAAAATTGCTTACAAACTATGGTGAAGAAAAATGAGTGTTCTTTTTTTCTGAGTGTCTTTTTTAATGGAAAGATGATTTCTAGAGGGATGTATGCTTTGTGCCGATTTCTGCTTCAGTGTATTACCCATAGTTTTAATTAGCAAGGGTAATGTAGGGTAGGATTAGGGCCTTTTCTTTCCCGGCCATGTTTTCACCTTCTATAGGCCTTTGTACACTTCCAGCGACTCTGTGTTGATATTCTAGGAGACTAGTCTTGTGACATACAAGTTTCCGTAGCTCAATGAAACACATATGTGGTGGCTTCATTCACACCGAGCAGTAGCAGAAAATGCAAGAATTGGATAAATTTGACTTCCAAGTCAGTGAACTTTTTCAACTCTAATTTTTAAAACTACACTACAACAATACAGTACAGTAGACAAACATGTCCTCAAGGGTACTTTATTTCTCTACAGTGTTTAATTCAACCTTTAATAATTTTGCAAAGAAGGGTATGTGTGTATTTTAATATAGCCTGACCTGATTTATATGTTTTTAGCTTTAGTATTTAACATTTTGTAACAAATAAACATTTTTTTTTAAAACAAGTCTATCAAGTGTGCTGTGGTTGCTTGACCTTGGATGTCCAAATATGGCATTGAATCTGGGATTGGAGCCTTGTGTTTCTCAAGGATAATTATGCTTCACAGATCATTTCCATTATGTGTAAAATATTTTGAATGTGGCTTATAAATGACTCGTTTATGATGACATAAATTCATGCTACATTTAACATCATTACATGCAGCCTTTAACATGAGTTCCTGCTGCCTTTACTATAATTTCTAACAAAAGAAATGCCTTTGGACTAGAAAGATAGTGGAAGGGATAAGGGTTTTGTCTTGTGTGCAGCTGACCCCAGTTCAGTTCCTGTACCTCATGGCCAGGGATCATTCCTGAGCACAGAGTCAGAAGTAGGCCCAGAGAGCACTGAACACAGCCTGGGGTACTCTCCCCTCAGGGAAAGTGCATATTTAGACACTGTAGTACTATCCTGTAGCACTGTCCTCGCCCATTGTTCATTGATCTGCTCGAGCGGGCACTAGTAACATCTCCATTGTGAGATTTGTTGTTACTGTTTTTGGCATATCGAATACATCACGGGTAGCTTGCCAGGCTTTGCCGTGTGGGCAAGATATTCTTGGTAACTTGCCGGGTACTCCAAGAGGGGCGGAGGAATCGAACTCAGGTCGGTAGCGTGCAAGGCAAATGCCCTACCCATTGTGCTATCGCTCCAGCCCATTTAGACACTTTTTGCATATATATGTACTGGAGCACAGCGGGTAGGGCGTTTGCCTTACAAGCGGCCAACATGGCCGACCCGAGTTCGATTCCTCCGCCCCTCTCGGAGAGCCCGGCAAGCTACCGAGAGTATTCGATATGCCAGACACAGTAACAACAAAGTCTCCAATGGAGACGTTACTGGGCCCGCTCGAGCAAATCGACGATCAACGGGAGGGCCTTTTTATATATGTACATACAAAAAGTATATATATAGATATATAGATACACATTTATATACACAAATATATATACATATATATATATGCTTTGATAATTAGCATAGAGGTAAACTCGGATATGAGCTGGGGAGAAGCTGTTCTGCATAATATGGATTAAGGAATCCAGTACTTCAGAGATTGTACTGCTCGAGATGGCTAAGTAGTAAGCACATGCCTTGCATGTGGGAGGCCTTGAGTTCCTTGGCATCACATGATCACCACCCTCCCCACCCCTCCGCACCCCCCAGAGTGGGTGGCCCTGGGGAGGCCAGCACCACTTCACACCATGGGGTCTGAAGCCTCCGAGGGCCTCCACAGTTCCCCCACACTCTGTCCCCAACAAGACACACTTGGCAGTAGCCTTCTAGAAGACCCTTTCCTCCTCAAGGCTCCAGCTTGAACCGCCCCCTCCTTTGCCCCTTGTCGCCCTCCAGGGATAATGGCCTCCTACTTCTGCACATGGCTTTCCTTGCTTGTTCATTCTGTTTCTGCATGTATTTTTCCGTATTCTTCGTTCATTCCTTACAGCCTTTACTGCATTTTTGGGACTTAGTATTAGTGGCCTCACGTGGCCATCATTGAGGACAAGAACAATGTACTGACTTAACTCTGAGACCTACCAACTGCCTAGCTGCCCTCAGGCACAGGAACTGACGTCAACTTTGCATCATCAGTGACATCAGTGACTTGAGGAGAGCAGACTACCCAGGCTGGAGCACTAAGGAGACTTCGCAGGTGGAGCTGTGAAGCTGCTGATCCGGAGTGGCCATTGCCATCCAGCGGGACACCTGGTGGTCAGTGACCTGGGAATGAATAAAAAGTAGAGAATGGAAGTGACAGTGGGGGAACCACTGAGGAGTTGTAGCTCACTTAGAAAGTGCTCCTGGAGGACGCCTCTCTCTGGAGGTGGAACACACAAGCACACAAGGTGGGAGACAAGAATGAAAGGGAAAAGGGGGCAAGGACATGGCTCACTGGGCAAGCACGGGTCTTGCATGTGAGGCCCAGGTAGGATCTCTGTACTTCTTAAATGAAGGGGAAACAGCATCCACTGTTAATGGAATGTTTGTCTGCAAACACGTCTATTTTTTATTTATTTTTCTATTTTTTTGCTTTTTGGGTCACACCCAGAAATGCACAGGGCTTACTCCTGGCTTTGCACCGAGGAATAACTCCTAGCGGTGCTCAGGGGACCATATGGGATGCTGGGAATCGAACCTGGGTCTGTCGCATGCAAAGCAAACACCCTACCCGCTGTACTATTGCTACAGACCTTGCGAACACTTCTGGCTCCAAGTAAATGGTTTCCCTGGCATGCTATGGGCTCTACACCTCTGTATAGCTCGCTGTTCATGGAGGAACATGTCTCAGATTCAGAGCAAAGAACTATATTTGCTCCCATTTAAGAACACAGAATTCTCAGTGAACCTATATAAGTGGAAAGGAGAATGGAATTTCAGTTTCTTTCCTTGGTTGGAATCTTGGAATCCTAAGGTCCATAGTAGAGTTCTTTTAACTCAATACCAAACGACCAGAAAAGTTAAAGACTGAGGTTTTTTAAATTTATTTATTTTGGTTTGGAAGCCACACCCAAGGGTACTCAGGAGTTATTTCTGGCTCTGTGCTCAGGAATTAACTCCTAGCAGAGTTAGGAGGACCATAATGGGGTGATGGGGATGAACCCTGGTCTGCCCCATGCAGGCAACCCTACACACTATACTATTTCTCCGGCTCCTAAAGACTGAATTTAGGCCCTCATTGATGACTTAGTGCTTATCGTGCTAAAGTCACCACAAGTAAGATGGGCATCTTTGTATCCTGGTGTTTCTTCCTTCAGGAACTCTGTTGTCATGAAAATGCTTTTCTCTCGGTATTTATAATTCCTCTGAGTCCAGAGTTCTCACAAGTTCAATCTCTGACATGCCATGTTCAAACAGAGCAGTTCAACATATTTTGAAGTTTTTCATTTTATAAGGTTGATATTTTGTAATAGTTAATACATTTGCCAGACTCAGAGCTCACAGCAGTAGAGAATAATCTGTTTGCTTTGGGAAGAGTCCTCAATTGCCCTCATCCCTTTTCTCACATTCCATGTAATTACTTCATTTCTTATGCACCATTAGCAAACAAAGGTGCACGCTCCTATTGTCCAGTGCTAGACAGAATAATGGCTCCCCAAAGATGTCCTCATCCTAATCCCCAAAATTCGAGGGTGTTGCCTTTCACCACTAAAGAGATTTTGTATTAATTGAAGGATTAGAGATGAGAAGATTATCCTGAGCACATGCATTGTTGGTTTAAGGGTCCTTTTGAGAGAGAGAATAGTGTAGGGATTAAGGCGCTTGCCTTGCAGGTGACCAACCCTAGGTTCCGTCTCCAATGCTGTGTAAGATCCTCCTTGCATCCCCAGGGTGGATCCATGAACGCAGAACCAGGGATTGCCCCTGAGCACTGCTGGATGTGGCCTGGGAACAAAAGCAGGAAATGAATGCGCCCTGTGTTTGAGACAGAGCCTGGCTGATTCACAGCTCTGTTCCCTTGCATGTGAGGGGAAGCTGCAGACCCTCCCTTGCACAAGCAGCTCACAGAGCAGCGTTGGAATCTCCAGCTGAACTTTCCAAAGGCCTTGTTGCACCCCGGCTGGCACGAGAATTCTGATCTTGTGCATTTGGTTTGCAGGCTGAGAATCTACCTTCAGAACAGCTTTCTGGACCGCGCTGGTGCTGCGGGTCTGGAGACGACCTTTGAGAATCCACTGAAGGTGGCTGGATTGGTGGCCCACACCTTCCTCAGCAGCCACCAGCCCCTCCAGCCCAGTCTGTCCCTGCGTGTCCTTGATGCTCTTTCTGGCTCCACAGATCCTCCTCAATGTGCTCATTCTACACCACAAGAGTTAACCCACAGCTCAGAGATCCTCCCGCGGCATGCAGGTGTGGAGTCTGTGGGCCGAGCAAAGGCTCCGGAGATGAGTTTTTTTAATTTGGGGGCCAGTGGAGTTCAGGAGGTGGGGAAGAAGCACAGACCCTCTCAGGATCTCATACTAAGCTTCCGCAGACCTGGGTTTTACTGTGACAGAACTTTCACACTTGTCCAAGAGATCCCTTCAGATATACGAATTGTCAACGAGTCATTATAAAATCGAATTCTGGTGGGTTTCTGTTTATTCATAAATTTTGAATTTTAATAATATCACAAAAATTTTTTTTTTACTTTAGAGATGTCATATGAATGCCTTAAATTTTCAATTGTCTCTTTGGATTCCACCGAACTTTATTTAATTAGGTTTATTTATTTATTTTTGGTTTTGACGAGCTGGAGCGATAGCACAGCGGTAGGGCACTTGCCTTACGTGCAGCCAGCCCGGCCAAGCCGGGTTCGATTCCTCCGCCCCTCTCTCAGAGAGCCTGGCAAGCTACCGAGAGTATCTCGCCCATGCGACAAAGCCTGGCAAGCTCCCCATGACATATTCGATATGCCAAACACAGTAACAACAAGTCTCAAAATGGAGACGTTACTGGGCCCGCTCGAGCAAATCAGTGAACAATGGGAGGACAGTGTGTGTTGTGGTTTTGACACCCAGCTGTGCTCAGGACTCACTCGTGGTTCTGTGCTCAGAGATAACCCCTGATGGGCTCAGGGGACCATGTGTGAGACTGGGGATCAAACCCAGGTCAGCCATGTGCAAGGCAAACACCTTTGATGCTGTGCTATCTCTCTACTGTCTGCTGAATATTAGAGATCTTTAAAATCTTTTAAATCTCATTACGTGACCACGTAATGAGATTTAAAGACAACCGTTGGACTAGAGCTGTTACTGATTGGATTCCACGAGATGTCAAGAGACCGCGTGGCCGCCCACCTACCAGATGGTCAGACTTCTTCGTCAAGATCATGAACGATCGGTTTGAGGCCCTTCATGTTCCCGGAGCGAACAGATGCCATTGGGCTACACTAGCACGCGACAGGGACAAATGGAGACGTTACTGGCCCGCTCGAGCAAATCGACGACTAATGGGAAGTTAAGTGATTAAGTGATTAAA